CTCTCTCTCTCTCTCTCAAGTGCAGCTTTCTATGTCCTGCTCCATGGTGTTTTTCTTCTCTCTCCTGGGGTATCCCATCTTGAATTTGGTGACTTAGGCTTTCCTGTGTATTTTTCTGCTTGATGCAGATGTCCTAAACAATATGATGTTCCTCCCCTCCCCTTCTCTCCTCTCCTGTCTCCCTCCCTCCCTTCCTTTTTACTTTTCCTGTCTCCCAGGTTGACCTGGAACTAATTATGTAGCCAGGGGCAACCTTGAACTCTACAGTCTGGAATTAGAGGCTTGAACTTCCTTACTTGACGCTGGCTTGCAGTTCTGTTTATCTTTTGTTGTGCGAATGTGTTTTTATTGAAGAATTCACCAGTCGTCTGCAGTCAATGCCTTCGGTCTCAAGATAGTTGATTTCAAAGTCATAAGGACACTTAGTAAAATGCTTAAAGCTTTGCCTTTTCTAATTTAGGTTTTTAATCTTTTTGTTACTTTTTTTATTTAGGTTTTGTTTGTTTGTTTGTTTTAAGACAAGGTTAGCTCTCTATGTAGCTCTGGTTATCCTGGAACTCACTATGTAGAGAACTCAACTCACAGAGCTCTCTTTGTCTACCTCTGCCTCCCAGAGGGCTGGGGTTAAAGGCCTGAGCCACTATGCTGCGTTTTGATTTCAGTTTTTAACCCATGTGAATTTGTATTTATATGGTATAAAGAAAGAAAATCACATTTTCCACATTGTCGCTATTGCTCTTTGAGATGGAATCTCATGATGGCCTCGAGCGCCTGATCCTTCTTGCTCAGCCTCCAGAGTGAGTCTGCAGCGCCGTGCCCTGCTATGCCACAGTCTGTCCTGATGACTCCAGCATCATGACTTCCGTGTCATGGAAAGGGTAACGTCGGCCCAGCACTGACTCGGACCCCTGGTGCTGTCATGGTGTCTTCCACAGCTTGTGTGGCTCTGACTCCTCTGTTCCGATTCTCGTGTATGTCCTGTGTCAACACGACAGAGGCCTGATCTGTAATGTTACAGAGTCTCTCTAACTATGGGCCAAGGACTTTTTTCTCTCACTTTCCTTGTACTTTTATTTGCTTGCATTCCAGGGGTAGCCCCATCAAACCATGGTGCATTTGCTTTCACAGTAGTTTGTGATTTTGGAGAGGCTCTTTTACAAAAAAATCTGTTAACTGAGCAATTGAGTGACTGCAGAATGCTTCATTCGTCAGAGGGTCCAAAGCTTGCCCAAAGCACCTTTGTCTGCCTGGGTTGATGGTTCCATTTTTGCTGCCCCTTATCTCCACTGAGACTCTTCTTAGTGTGAGCTCAATTGAGTGTTCAAACCATAGTCACTACCATCTAGGTGTTTGTATACTCGGAGCTTGGATTAAGTGGGTGTCTCCGATGACTCTAGAGCTCTGTTTATTTTGCCATTACACTTTCTGTCTTGTCTTGGCCTTCAGGAAGCTAAGGCATGGGTCTATGCTCAGAGGTAGCATTTCCCTGACTCTAGGTTTTTGGAATTACCCCTCTTTCTCTGCATTCTGCTTATTCCCTTATTCCAGCTAACGCAGCCTTTTTTTTTTTTTTTTTGATTGGTTGCTTGGTTTTCGGGATAGGGTCTCACTATGTACCCCTGGCTAGCTTATTCCATATATATAGTATAATCTGGCTCACAATTTGCAGAGATTCTCCTACCTCTGACTGTTGGGTGCTGGAATTATAGACATGCCCACCATTCCTGGCTCAAGCAGGCTTTTCTTCATAGCTTCTTATTTGCTTATAAAAGCTTTATGATATATGAAGATATTAAAATCGTACGTATTAATGAGGATGCCATATTATGTTTGGACACAGACACATTGAATAACGTTTAATTCAGGTTTAGCATATTTATTTCAAACATTTTGAAAAGATTTTTTTTTTTTTGAGCTGAGGTCCGAACCCAGGGCCTTGCACTTGCTAGGCAAGCGCTCTACCACTGAGCTAAATCCCCAAGCCCAAAGATTTATTTATTTTATTTTTTATTTTTTATTTATTTTTTTTAAAGATTTATTTATTTATTAAGTACACAGAAGAGGGCACCAGATCCCATTACAGATGGTAGTGAGCCACCATGTGGTTGCTGGGAACTGAACTCAGGACCTCTGGAAGAACAGTCAGTGCTCTTAACCTCTGAGCCATCTCTCCAGCCCCAAAGATTTATTTTTTAATTTAAAACATTATATCTATGTGTGTGTCTATGTGTTGGAATGTGCATCTGAGTGCAGATGCCCTTGGAGGCCAGAGATGTCAGATCCCCATGGAGCTAAAGTTACAGGTGATTGTGAGTTGCCCAAATGCAGGTAGTGGGAACTGAACTCAGGTCCTCTTCAGGAGCAGGAAGCCGTCTTAACTGCTGAGGCCTCTCCAGCTCCTCCTCAAACACTGCTTCTTTATAGTGAAAACTTTTGGCGCTCTTTCTCTTAGTTTTCTGAAGTGCACAGAGTGTTATTGTTCCTGTGGACATCCTACTGTGCAAGAGCACATCACAACCTCGTGCTCCTGTGCCAACCCAGTAACGTTTCTCTATACGTGGTGATTCATCTGTTCCTCTTCCTCATTCTAGGGCCTGAACTCAGGGCCTCCCATATGCTAAACAAGTGCTCCACAATTTAGCTACACTTTCAGGTCAACTTCTTGTTTTATTTATTTTATTGATATTTTTGTCTGTTAAAATTTTAATTTATTATTATGATGTGGTGTGTGAAGTGTGTGTCCATGTGTTGAGTAGGTTCTCTCCTTCCTTGTTTACATGGATTCTAGAGATGGAATTTGGATTATTAGGCTTCATCAGAAGCACCTTTACCCACTAATCCATCTTGACTGGCCCTGTTTGTTTAAGACAGGGTTTCTCAATGTAGCCCAGGCTGGCCTTCAACTCACAAAATCATTCCTCCTAATATTTTAAGCAGTTTTATTGCTTGTATGTTTCAGTATAAATTCCATCAAATCTTTTTGTGGAAAGGTGAAGTATAAATTCTAATTTGTCGTGGAGGGTGTCTTTAATCTCAGCAGTTGGGAGGTAGAGGCAGACAGATCTCTGTGGGTTGGAGGCCAGCCTTGTCTACATAGTGAGTTCTAGGAGAGTCAGAACTACAAAGTGAGACGACAAACAAAACAAAACAAAACAAATAAATGCAATGAGAAATGTCCAATAAAGGTGGAATAACTGGGGAGTCTACTGCAGTGGCATGGTGATTTTTCAGAATCATTAGTGTAGAAGGTTAATTTTCATGTTTTAGTGTGTAGGCCTTTTTCTACCCCAAAATACTGTATTAAAGTCAGGGATGAGAAAGAAAAAAAAAATCTTCTCTTACTTTCAATTTCTGCTAGTAAATCCGAAAGACGTTATTCAACCTTCAAAGGCAGTGTGATTGGCAGGTTGTCATTGTGATATTTTTTACTAAGTACTGAATTGAGCTGCTCACGAACAGCTGTGGGCCTTTCCCTTTGAGCTGAACCCAAATCTGGTTTTTTAAAAACACACGGCTCGTAGAGCTTTTGTGTTCTCATGAGTTCTGGTAACCCCCTTCGGGGCCGTCTCTCACGGGCCGCTCAGTCCATTCACTGGGCGCGATACAAAGCGTTTTGTTCCTCTGCTCACACCAGCAGCCGTCTCCCAAGGAGACGCTGAATGCCCACTAAGTCATGCTCTCCCATTACTCATTCCTCCTTTTCTCCCAAGGTGGCGTGTGGGAGGTGTTGTGCTGGGGTTCGACAAGAATAGGCCAGGAAGCTTTCTGCTGGATACACTCATGCCTGCGCGTGGTTCCCTTCCCACCGCGCCGGGCTCGGCGGCATCGCCGTGTGAGCTTGTTTTCCAAACGGACAATGACTCCACACTCGGCCGCTCCCACATAATCCCAGCTCTCGGATGGCAACTGGACCGTCCAGTCCTGCCCTGTCACTCAGGCAACCTTTTGTCCCTTTACGAAGCGGGTCATCCGGCCACACAGGCGCGGCTACTGCCCACTAACACCCTTTGGGGGGTCACCCGGGAGGGAACTCTGGGCACCGGCTTCGCCCACCCGACACGCCCGCACCCGCATCGGCTCCTGGACCAGCAGGGGGCGCTCGAGTGTCTCCGTCGCTCCGCCAGCATCTCCCGCCCCCTCTGACGGACTCGCCTTACTATTGGCCGTCCTTCCCAAGATCTTCATCTCGATTGGTCACCTTCCGCGTCGGTCTCGGTTGCTGGGCGGGCCGGAGTGACGCGCGGCGCTCTGGCTCGGGGCGGTGTCCCGCGCCGGCGGCTTCGGGCGGAGTTTGGCGAGCTGCGACGCGGTGTAGTCAGACGGCAGTGGTCCGGGGAGGAGACAGCTCGCGTCCGAGCTTCTCTCTGCTCCTTCGCCGCATCCACCGCCGCGCCCCGGCCTCCCGCCAATCCTCGATGCAGAGTTGGGCGGCCGCGTGATGGGGTTGCGGAGCGGCGCCCTGCGGCTCCCGGCGGCCGCTGCTCGCGCTGAGGTGCGTCGGTGCCCGGCCTCCCG